TTAGAAGATGCTAAATTAGTGTGAACTAGTTTGGGGCAAAATAATCTATTGTAACATGCATACACACATTTATACACATCTATGCATAAAGAAGGGCCCATGCATACAGAAAATTTAGTTCACCCACGAAAGTCAGTAACTGATCGAGGCGAAGTATCCTTGCTAAGAAAGGTGATCATATATTAATGAATACATATTTCGATGGTCTGGAATGTGTGGAAAGTTTTTTTATACTTCAAAGTACATCACCCGACTATTCGAATACAAAAAAGCGCAAAGCCGTTTCCTTGTAATATGAGATGTATTCACCCAATTTCGTTTAAGGTGATGAAGGACTGGTAGAAGAGTTTTTCTACAATGATATGAGTAGAGCTGACATTTCCATTCAATTTCACATAGCCTTGCTTTCCCTTAATTTGTTCTCATCCAGAGTGGACTGCAGTTTCGACTTGGCATAGGCCTTATCAACCCCCCCAGCGGGAGTCGAACCGTAACAATGCACCATGTGAACTTGACAGGTTAACCACTTGGCCACATTGCAACGAGTGCCCTTGGGTCACGGGGCAGATGTGAATTTCAAGGAAGGCTAGGCCTTTTCCCATATCACATTCTTTGGTGGGATTGTCGATGAAGTAAACGTATATTTGCTATAACAATCGACTACGTTACTTATTTTTCGTATGTATGTAGGGTTTCGAGATTACCAGTAAATCAGTAATATGAGATGTATTCAAATCTGTCCCGTGACCCAAGGGCACTCGTGGCGATGTGGCCGAGTGGTTAACGTGTAAAACTCACGTTCTGCTCTGTCAGGGTTCGACTCCCGCTGGGGGTGTTGATAATAACGATGTGGAAATAAAACTGCAGTCCACCCTGAATGAAGACAACTTTTGGGAAAGCAAGGCTATGTGAAATTGAATGGAAACGTAACCTCTACTCATATCATTGTGGAAAAATTATACTATTAGTCCTTCATCACCTTAAACGAAATAGGGTGAATACATCTCATATTACTGATTTACTGGTAGTCTCGAAACTATACTTACATACTTATATAATCTTTTCTGGCTTTGACGAAGTCCGTTACATGAAGGAAGTAAATTCAGCACGGATTCATTGGGGTCGCAGTAGATCATCGTCCAACCGATCATGAAGGCCATCAGCTCACCGAGCATGAGGTAGATGTAGGAATAGTAGGAGCCCGAACGATGGACCAGAATGGAGAACTCAGTATAGCACATGGCCGTGAACAAGGCTGAAGTTGTGCGATACAGCAGTCACAATTCTAGGACAACCCTCCTTCGGTTTCGGGTGAGGCCAATTTACGAATCCCTTCCACCCATCTTTTCAAACGAAATGAACGCTATTCCAGCCTCAATCTACTAAGGAAATGCTGGAACCCGGCTTATCTACATACGAAGAAAAGTTGGGTTTCGAGGAATCTCTTGTTTCATAATTGTTGAACTTACTTCCATTTCGAGTAAAAGTGTTGGGTGAAGAGAATTAAAGGATGGTTCCACCAGAAAATGACGGCGGATTCCTTTTGACCAGCTGTCGATTGGTTTTACTAGTAGATTCATGCTGACGCTGTTTCCGAGGTAATATCCTTCGATTCCGGTGAAAAGGTACCTACTTTTAGAGAGAAAGTTGACCCATTATCCAGATCGGGATGCTACAAAATAATGTGTTCATGTGATCCCTTTTATGATAGAGACTTGTCGCCCCATTCGACAAAGGTTGACTGAGCACCAAAGCGCCTGCAAGGGCTGTTGGGTTCAAAAATCGGAGCTTGCTGAGCAGAGGCCAGAAACGGGACACGAGATTGAATGGTCTCAAACTTGTCGTTTTCCTGATTATGGCATCTCTGCGGCTAAACGTAAAATTAGAGAAGCCATAGAAATAAACAGAATAGGAAATACCTTGAATCTAAGGTATACCGGCAAGAAGATAAGTAAAAATTACTTGTGCTTAATTACTAGACTGAAGGATGGAGGGAGTTGAGCCGCCTGCAAAAAGGAGGCGACGCAACTAGTCTTTTTTGTCTTGGTTCTAATGATAGTCACTTCTACGTACTTTTAGCTTACTCTTTCTCTTTCGCATTGAGACCAAAACAAAAAAAGGCTTATCAACAAAACCAGACGAGTGTCCGACCTTGCGTAATCGGAGTAATGTTTCTAACATGTATGTAGAAAGGTGGAGATAGGGGTCATCAAACCTTGATGGCCAAAAGCAGACGTTCCTTTCTGCTGTCCTAATTACTCTGAGCAATCACTGCGGGTTTCATGCATAAGCGAACATAAACAGACTCATACGCATACAGAGACAGACACACTCACATGCATCTAAGTTGACATATGACCTTAACTAACCAAATCACTTTCTACTTGATCAGAGGCCAGATGTAGAGTATATATTCCACTTTTTAGGGATTTGCCGGGGAGTTTTCTTGACTCGGTAGCTTGAATTTTGTTGTGACGATGTTACCTCGCTCTTATGATGTCCGTCATATGACGGATGAAAGCTTAGCACCTTTTCACCGGAAGCGAAGGAGATTGCCTCGAAAACAGCGTCATCATGAATCTTCCAGAAAG